AAATAATGATTTGACTTTAACTACACTTTTATGAACAGTTACTTACAATTACTAAATCTTATTTGTAGACCAAATTCAGCCGCAAATACGAGGGCTCGGGCGAGGAGTCGGCCCGTCGGGCCATATTTGAGGAGAACTACAACCGTATAAAAGGGCATAACTTTGAGGCCGAGTCCGGGGAACAGACATTCAAACTGGCGGTCAATCAGTTCGCGGACTTCACGAACACAGAATTCAAGCATAGAGTCAATGGATTCCGGCATAAAAAACAGGCAAATGTTTCCGTGTATACAGGAACTGGCGATGAACTCCCGGATACTGTGGACTGGCGTACCAAAGGTGTAGTGACTCCCGTTAAAAATCAGGAACAGGTATGTCAACATACTATTCACAATTAGGCATATTTACTAATTATATCAATGACATACCAGTGCGGTTCGTGTTGGGCATTCTCAGCCGTGGCTAGTATTGAAGGTAAATACCTGCTCTCTAACCCAAGAGCACATCCTATTTAAAAACTGGTCTAACTTTTCCTAACTATTTACAGGTCAACACGCGTTGACCACCAAAAAGCTGGTCTCCCTTTCGGAGCAAAATCTAGTCGACTGTTCCCAAGCTGAGGGGAACGAGGGCTGTGAGGGCGGCCTAATGGACGACGCCTTCGAGTATGTCATCAAAAACCACGGCATCGACACCGAGAGCTCCTACCCCTACAAAGCGATCGACGAGAAGTGTGTATTCAAAAAGCAAGCTATCGGTGCGACTCTCACCGGCTTTAAGGACATCCAGTCGGGCAGTGAGTCGGCCCTACAATCGGCGGTGGCAACTGTGGGCCCCATATCGGTAGCCATCGACGCCTCCAGCTTCACGTTTCAGTTCTACAGCTCCGGCGTCTATAACGACAAGACTTGCGGTAATAAACAGGAAGATCTGGATCATGGGGTGACAGCAGTGGGGTATGGCGTACAGGACGGGAAGGACTACTGGCTCGTGAAGAACTC